TAGCCGAAAAAAAAACAGGCTGAACCGTGCCTAACCCAACCTCCATCATCCGCAGCGATCAAGACTGTAGTACGCCTCAGTGCGTTCTACATACGAAAATCTTCAGAACAAAGTACGTACCCAGGATCCAACGTCTTCTGTAGATCTTTGTCACGTGGGTACCAGCTACCATTCACTAGCGCCACACCATCGCATCCACTTTTGAATGTCTGCAATACTACGAACAATGCTCTACTCTCAAATAAGAATTTTTGAGACGACAAAAAACCTCTGATTTATTCGGCTCCTGTCATGTTCACAAACACAAAATGAATCATTACCAGTTCTATATGAGCTTTAGCTACGACTCTTCAAAAAATAACACCTCACCTTGTACGTGTGACATAACCAGTTCACCGAAACAACTCGATTTCGGAGTAAGACGTATTGATCCGCCGGTGAAAGGGCCTGAATAAAGGATTCCATAAAAAAACGTGCAACCCGTATAAAAAAATGAGAGTCTCCCATTCACTGCCCGATTCCTTTACTGAAACGAAATTCCTCTAGAAAGTAAGCCACTCGAAGAAACATTCTGCGATCATCGTATAGGAGGAGACTCAACCATTACCCATTAGAGCTGTCAATAAGTGGAGCTAATGGGAAGACGTAACCATCGTAAATCCTTGCCCTATTCAGGGTCTTCCGGCTATCATAGAATCAGTGTGTGTCCAAATGTGGCACAGGCAAGATGAGGGGAGGATAGGTGGTGAATTCTTCGCGTGTGAAACGGGGAAAAAATCAGCAATCGGAAATGTTCCCTGATTCCCAGACTGAATACAAACACCGTTTCCTCTAGCAGCTGAACGCCACCTCCCATAGGGGATTTCCCAACGTGCCCTGACTGTCAATACGAAAGTAGTGCCTCGCGGAATAGATGCCAACCTTCGCGAGTCCCCGACTAGGAAAAAGGGACCGCGAAAGAAAAGGCTAGACTGCGCCATGGAATGTTGTGTACCCTATGGAGCAGGAACTGCGTCCTGGAAATCTTGTAGGGGTCGCCAGGAGCTGCGTCGTTGAAAATCTTATTGAGGTCGTCCTCAATATGAGGGAGGGTGTTGTAGTTGGTGCTGGGGGTCGACGGATTCCCGCTCGACCACAGTTCTTTACTAAGGGGAGACCTGGAATTTCAAGACATATGTTAATGAGTGAGAGAATTTGGAGATAGTAGATAGAACGAAGGAGGCGGGGGGGACGGAGTCCGAGTGTGAGGAGCCATTTCATCCTCCAGATGTTGCTCCCTGTTGCGGAGGTTAGAAGTTAAGTGGTGCCCGTCAGGTATGTGCGCTACTTGTGTGATGGACAGGAAACAGACTATCACTACCACAGCCTCACGGCTAGACTTGGGGTAACGACACACAGAACATCCTCCGCCCTCATGAACCGAGAAAAACGTAAAAGAGTAAAGACAAAATACTTCAAGACCAATTACGTTGTACAGCTCATGAGTGCTGCCCAGTCAACGCATAAAACAAACGAGCGGCACCATGCGATTCCGACGTCTTCAAGGTTGGTCAAACGTTCGAGAGCCAACCAGCGTGGCTAAAAAGGAATATCATATTGAGCACTGAAAATACAGTTCGGACTTACAGGGTGTTCTCTCGCACACGATTCCTGGCTGTTTGAAGGCGGCTTCGATAGTCACATCTACTCTGCATAACTTATTGAACTGCTCGCTGAAGTCGCAGTCCTCTGTAGCGTCGATCATGTTGTCAGTTTGTCGTTCCTTGAAACATGATTATGTAGATGATTCAAGATAAAAATATCGTGCCTGGTTTTAACCCCACCTCAGCAGGCTTTATCGGTAGATTAGTGACAGAGAAAACGCCGCATACAGGGGGGAGGCAATAAAAAGAAGTCATTTTTCTTCATTGACTTTTGATATAAGCACACTTTTATTCAATTCTGATCGGTACATTTTCACCACCAAAATGGAGCATTAATTAAATACTATCCATGACATACCGCGCCAAGCCGTCTGAGAGCGCGCATCGAGAGATTACTGGCACCGAACCCGCTGATGTTGGTGGCATGAGCATCAGCGGAGATAGTCGGAATTTTTCCGCCACTGTAGACTCACCCCTGTTAACTCCCCCGAACTGGTAACTGAGGGATTCAGGTCCAGGGTGACCTATCTTTAGATATCCATCTCCTTTAGGTACTTAACACCCTTCATTCCAAGTAGGGCGAGAAGTTTTCCCAACGCCCTTTGATTTCCAATGTGGATCCCCACTCCTGTGGCTCTGTACATAAGTTCCAAAAAGTACTGAGGATATCTTCTTGAGCTGCAATCCGCCAGCGCTCATATTCAGTCCCCGGAGTTCACGAAGAAAATATAAGTCTTTCAATCTCAGGTATCGTTTCCCATATACCATCAACCCGCGCCTTGGCGACTGTGGTGAAGATGATGTCCTAGACCGTAGCGACGTTGTCGGAGCTGCTCGATGTTGGAGGTCTTCCAGATCGAGAGTACTGGTCTCCAGGTAGCTATCCATGGGTGACTCCATACTAGAAGTTTCGCAGCTGTTTGGAGGTGACGTGAATTTCAAAGGTCTTCTCCAGTCAGACTGCTACTGGAGATGACTTCATATTTTGGTGTACATGAAGGTGATGGGCAAGAGCCAGCTCCTGCTTATCGAGGAACATCTTGGGTATCTTCCGCCCTGGTACTCGTATCCACGTCCTCTGTCTGGGCTGCGAAAACTTTGCTGATATGTGACTCGGTCGAAGTGACTTTTTTTGCCCCCCCCTGTACACTGGTCACATCTTAGAGGATAGGGTCACGCAAAGGTAGACCGACTCGGGTCACGGAAAGGTAGACCGAGTCTTTCATCTCATTGATGTCAGCTAATCAGACTCGAAGTCGTTGAAGAAAATTGAAAATACCTGCGCCAACTACTATCCTCGAATTCACACCCTGATCATCGTCGCGTGGCTCAATACTGCGAAATCCCACTTCAGTTTGCTTGCAGTTCGGTGCGTTGTTCGCAGTTTAGAGACACAGTGCGCAATTGTCGGGTGGGCGGGAACACATAACCACTGAGCCTCCTTCATCAGTGAAACAAAGGAGTTGGTTAACCTATTCTCGTCTCACAAAGGAAGGCTAACCAATAAGAAAGGTACGATGGCAGCTGGTTCCCGCCCATCGGGACTGTGCCTATAGTATGGAGAGAGCTTATCTATTGCAGTAAGCCGTTGGATCTTCAAGGAAAATGGGACCCAGAGATCAGGCAGCTAGTAAAAATGCTAACAATTGCGAGACGCCTCGATTGAACGCAGAGCCTTCTATAGTAAAATTGTGCGAAAACACTGCCTGAACCTACATAGAAGATATGCATGGGATTAAAACTTACCAGCTCAATGAGGTGCTGCACAATTGAGTACCCAGGGTGGAAGGCTGAAGCATATGCTGGTGGTGGGGAGTCCTGCTTCACTACATGTGAGATTGGTACCGACGATGGAGTGTGAGTGGATGAAGAGGTTTTCGGTGGGCTCTGTGACAATGTTTCCGCAAAAGCACGATTGACATTACCTGAAATATTACTTACGAATAAAGTACCACAAATGTTGTGCCAATTCGGGGCAGAACCAGACCCCCCCCCCAAACATGAGGAAAATATTCAAAACTTACCGCCCAGACAACTTGTCATGAAAGGCGGAGCACTCGATGGCTGTTGTGAGCTGCTCGGCGACAAAAGCATTGGATTCAACGATATCATCAACGGGACCTTGTTGGACGACTAAAAAAAACACAAACTCGTCATACTTCAATAGAATTCCCTCCTTTGCTTCTTATTTGGAGGTCTGTAAGTTGTGGTTTAAGGGGTAGGGCTCACGGATCGAGTTAAGCTGCCGTATGGTTCCCTTGTGCACACGCGTCATGGCTCCTTTTCATAGACTGCCCCTCGCTACTGGACTCTTCTAGGCAGTTGCGCGGCGCATTGCTGGGAGGCGCGAGCGATGGTCGATGCTAACTAAGGATCATTTGGTGAAATGGCGTTAGCCACATCCCCACAAAGCGTTGGGCAGTCTGGCTGAACGTCCTCTTCAGCACCCCCACCAATGACGCTCGCAACAACCGATCGCCTTACACACTCGCTGTACACTGGCGTTAACTCTGCCTCAAACTGAGATATGGACTGCACCCGTTTTTCACTTTCACTTCAATGACTCTGTTTCGTGCTCCCTTTTGGACCATAACGTACTATGAAAAGGATATGAAGAGAGGGAAGTTACTGTGACTTTGTTCTGAACAAGGAGCTATTCGACTTTGGGAGCAGAGTCTAATTATTTACTCCACTTTTGCTGGTTCTTTGCGGGCGGAAAGTCTGTGAATAGACTGCATTTTCGCTAATTTCTCTTCTAGATTCCCATCGAAATTACACGTATTTCATCTCGGAGGAACCTGTAGACTCCTACCACCCAAAACTCTGCGCTATGTAGAGCTGCTAGGCACTTACAGGTCTTCACAGAGGGCTGAAGCAGTATGAACCATGGGAACCAGAAAAAATGTCCCCACAAAGCCCACCTGTGCTCTACAATTCTCTCTACCCGCCCCAAATTCTCCTTTATGATGTGATCAGCTGTGGATCTGGATAATCTAGCAACAGAAAGCAGAGAATAGAAAAACGAATACTGGTTTCGTCATCGTAGAATTGAACAACTCGCACAAACTGTTAAGGGACATCGAGCGTACTTGAAACGAAGGAGTGGGGGGGGGGAAGCTTCGGCACAGAGCTATCCTAGCTTTTCCATAGCAGCTATCGCATAGGCCAGGTGTACTTCCTTTCTTCCTTGAACAAGAGTAGCCTGGAGGAAATCTAGGAGCAGCTCTACTGCGAGAAGGATGTGCGACTTAACATCTATGTTGGCAGAAACTATCACAAATAGTCCATGCCTTCAATAGATATCGCTCTAAATTGTGCAAATCGACGATTGTCGCTTCTCCTTAACCTCCATTAAAAGTGCTCTAACTGATGGTAAAGTTAGATCAGTCGGCTCGAGTCGCTTGAAGGTGCGCCTCTGCTACACCTGACCCTCCTTATTCCTAGAAATAGTAATTTGGGAACAGAAGAGAGCGGTAGCGGAACTGACAAGTGGAAGCCCCGGAAAGCCCTTATGAGAAAAATAAGCAAAAATTACATGCGACCCTATTTCATACACTAAAATTATCCCGGGAATCCAGTTACAAGTTCTATAATGAGATTATTAAGAAACTGACCACAGACGTAGACGGTCCCGTCCCTTCGTCGGCACTGGGAGATCCTTGACCAGCAGATTTCTTCTTGTGTTTATCCCGTTCTGACTGCACAGCTTAAACATCAAAATTGAATCACAACTAAAGAAAACACCTGTTAAATGGGAGCAATTCAGCGAAGAGGGGGTGGGGGGGCGGGCCTTTTGCCCACCTCGCCTTCAGTAAATGGTTCGGTCGTCAAGGGCTTACTGTGACCGACCACTGTCAACGCTCGTAAAGCTTTTGAAATTAATTTTATCATGATTTGACTGGAGTTAACAGGTATTCTTCACAAGAGTTGATAGAGGTCTCCACTAATTTAGCTGGCATCTTTCGTGGCTTAGCAAGATTTCACAGGTCTCCATTTCATAGCTCACACGTCAGCGGGAACTAGTAAAAGTATAAAATGCCCCCCGTAGTCGAACTGTGTTGTGAAATGTAAACGAATGATGTAAGAAAGGACAATCGAATCCCATAAACTCACAGCGAGCGTCCATTCCAACTTCGAAGCACTTCCGAAGACGGCAAGCCCGGCATCGATTACGATATTCCTGTACAATTTGGCATCTGCTGCCAAAGCGGCACGTATAATCACGTTGCTCCCAGATACTAAAAAAATAATTTTTTTCAATAATCGCTAAATATCCTTCATGTGAAACACTTCTCTATAACGGAGTTGGTGTAGCGGCAAATGGCGCTACCTATCACGTACACGGTCCAGAAATCAACATTTTTCATCTATTCAGGAGCGGCTAATTGGTATCCAGGCGTCTGGAGAATAAAAACACCGTCTTGCATAATGATTCGTTCCACAGGCCACGGGGTGATGCCACTTGGAATTTTGATTTTTTTATTTTTTGTCCATTTCAAAATCATTTTCAAAAGCTCTGCCATGCCGCTCATGTTATGGCAGCGCGATTCTGGTGCTCGAGATACTTCAACCTCATCTGGCTCAAGCACCTGAGGCTTGCACCAACCGGAAGAAAACAATCTGAAATACAAGATATGCTGTCAATTTCTCCCAAGCGGTTCCCAAAAGGTAGTTTTGACCCCCTGAAAATAAAGACCACGTTTGACTGTTTGAAATGCCTTGTGTGCTGCCCTTCCAGCGAGCTACTGAAATTGGCCCATGTCTGCTGACGAAAGCTTCAAGGGGTGTGGCAGGAGCAATTGTAATTTGCCTGTGCCAGTGCAGCGTCGCGTGCGACGTTGCGCCCGCTGATGATGACCATTTTAGGTGGTATTGGTCGAGAACAGAAAATGTCTGACCAAAAATAGACATAAGTGTCTATCATGTCCCTTCTGTCTTCATGAAATCCATTGCTCAGTCGAAAGGGTGTAGTGCAAGTCAAAAAGCGTCACGTCCGTATCGGCCGCCGAGCGAACAAAGCCCGGCATCACGATTCTCTTGCCCGTCTCCCGGCGTCAAGCACTTCGGCCTTGAGGGATGTAATGACTGGAGCTCTTGAGTTCAGAGTTCAGCCAAATTCATCGCTAGGGAAGTTCTAATCAAAATGAGGCCTGACTTAAGAATGTGGCCCGTTCAGAATCGTGATGACATTTCTACGACATCTAGCTTTTTGACGTCAATTCTTGGATCAGCACAACTTTAACCTTCGTGTAGGTTCAATAATCGCAAAGTGTACCAACCAACACTCCCGGCATAAGAGAATCTCGAAGTGTCATGGGTCTGGATCGCTGGCATGACGCGCGTGTAGCTAGATTTGCCACAGCCAACTTTTCAAACATAGTACAGCCGGTAAATAGAAACCACACCTTCTCCGGAAAAATCCTTTGCAACCGTTACAGGCAATTGTACCATAATGACGACCAGCACGAGAATCTCCACATACTCGGCACTTCATTCCTGAATGTCTAGTTCAATAGTGAAAGCGACTGCAACTTTATTGTGAAAATTCTTACAAGTATTTCGTGTATCTCCAGTAGTGTAGCCCTCAAAGAACTTTGTACGACGCGCCTCTAGCGACCGCAAAAGATCTCTCTCTGGATGGGGAATCCCCAACCACGATGCCCCGTGCGTCTGCCTGTACTTAGCGCCGACAAATGTCGGATAACGTCATCAATAATCTATTTTCACGGACATTCCATTACGTTTCCAGGCTGAGCGCTAGACGATGACGCGCGTGGGTTATCCGTCCGTGCATAATGCGCGTGTGAACCGATCAATGGGTGATGTTAATTCCTTGTTACATATTTGATCATTACTAGATACTCTACTGGTAGGAGGAGGAGGAGAACAGGTGGGCGTGGCACGGTGGGCACACAGGAAAGGTCGATGGGAGGACAGCACAGCCAAAGACAGAGAAGTACTTATTTAAAGCAAGTACGGTTCAACCTGCACGGCGACAACTAAGGCTTAGTCTCGCAAATGTGATAATTGTAAGGAAAATGATGTAAATCCCTTACGAATTTGAGCCTGTGATGCCAGGTATGGAAAGATCCACAGTTCCGATGCCGACCTCTGTCTTGGGATGAAGGAATTCGGCCGCTGGCAGAGGAACTACTGGAGTCGGGTGCGGTACGCCAGCTACTGTGAATGGAGTCGCTGAAACAGCAATATTAGATCGAGTTCCGAAACAAGGCTCCGATTTTTCAGCCAGTTTGTCCACAAAGACGGGAGGTGGGGCGGGAGGGCGAGGAAGGGGACGCGGTGGAGGTGACAACACAACGTCATATCTGCATGTCTGCGTTTTCTCACCTACTACTTAACCTACTACACACATTTTGGGGTGTACTGTTAGAGAAGACGGATCAAGACAAGACCAGCGATAAAAGATAAGATAAAGATAAAAATCACGTCATCGTATAGCACTTCACTTATGTACCCTTTACCCCAACTACTCTGCGCTTCCTATAACTCAACTGAGTGATGCACTCAGGCCACGTCCTGCCGTTGAGGAAAGTATTTGCACAGTACGACCCCTCCAAATTTCCTCCTCTGGTCCAACCCCTCACTCTCTCACTTATTCCCCATCATCCTGCCTACTATCCTATAAACTCCTACCAGTCTTCGGATTTGATAACCTGAAATTCATTACCACTTTTTCTCCAAGAAGCGCCGTTGAGCGGATAGTTGAAAGAAAAAAAAACCGAGGAGAATTAGGAATGGAAACATTTCCTTTAGAGCAAAATACCGACCCTCTCGCCCCGTACTTGCTGTTTCCCAAGGTAGGACGTGCCCTGGATGCCACGGTAATTAAGAACTTCACGAACTGAACTGTTAACGATAAACGCAATCGAATAACTATTTCGGATGCGCTCGTTAATTGACCCTCATAGAATCGCAGTGATGTAAAGGCGTGTCCTAGGAGCGACCGGTCGAAGTTCAGGTCACTTTTGCTATTCTCAGGTGCTCGTGTGATGTATTGTAAAGCAATCTACCCCGGAAGGATGAGGTTAGACCCAACAGAATCAGTTCTGCGGATCGACCACGAAATAGGTCAGTGCGCTTGCTATCGCTACATATCGCTTACTAACGAAACTCCCGCAATTTGCAGCTCAAGAACTAGTTTTCACCAAGTTCCTAAGGAAATATAGCACCTCAAGGGGGTGTTAAGATCTAGAAAAGAATGCGATTAATCAGCGTAGATGACGGGCTGCTAGGCGATACACTAATTTTGCCGTGCAAAACAAGAGACCGTGGTTTAGGTTCCGGAAGCACTGGACCACCTGCCGGAAGAAGCCTCCGTGCAGCAACATTTACGCCAGGCATTCGCTTTCACGGGAACACCTCATTTATTCAACTACTCAAATGTAAAGAGAGTGCATTCGCAGATTATCAACATGACTTTTACAACACTTACTAAATCCATCGCATGGAGGATTGGGAACGCTGTTCATTGTTTTCTTGATTGACAAAAGACAGCGCTGCTTCGGCTTGGGGAGCATACTACACCATTCGCTCTTTCCTTCCCCCTTTGTTTGTTCAATATTGAAGGCAGTGCTCACGTCCAAATTTGATGAGTATGGGGCCCATGTACTAATAGCAAGGTAGCAAGAAGCCTATTAGCGAAGAAAAATAAAAAGAAAACATGCAAAATGCCCCCGTAAGGGGTTTTTCATACCGAGCAGCGCGTTTTGCTATCGTGCTTAGAAGGAGTGGTTGCACGAGTTCTCACTTGTTGATTTCAGCTGTTTCCCCTTATCACCTCACTCTCACCACACGACGTGGAGAGAAGCAGCAATGGAACAACCGCACCATCAGGCAACCATTAGAAATGAAGTTGGGCGTCGTGGTCGCCAGGTGGGCGGGGCGGTCGACTCTTTACTAGCGATTGCATACTTTATATTCCTCTCGCCTTTGTGGAGATGCAAAACTAGCTACATACTGCATCCTGTATTGCGGGAGGCTTTGATACCCAGAAAGGGCGTAGGAACATCAAGTAAACGTGGGCGCTGCCTTTAAGTAACAGGATTCACTTTGGTGATACCTGTAAACTCTTGTGATTAGCGCAAGCGAGCCTTTCTTTCTACAGGGATCCACCATTCTTCACAAAGTGGCCTGAATTAGCTTCGCTGAGCATCGTGGTGCCCCCACCAAGACGAACGCGCCCGAAAAACTTTGGTACCATCACAATCTGTAATTTAATACCGGCCATGTTAATCAAATTTTGGTATTAACTACGCTGCGGGACTATTGGAGATAAAGAATGAATGAGCCTTTCGCTGTTGATCGATCCCTTCTGGAATGCGCCCTACATCTTACTTGCATTCCCATTCGCATCGGTATGTTTACTGTGAACTGAATTATACAATAATGTGCGGCCACCGTACACACCAACCAACATTCCCACATGGGTAGAAGGCCTGGCTAGGCTGTCGGGAGCTGATCCGTAATCAGGGTACAGCATCGTGATGTGTGAAATGGTGCGCCAGTGCAATCCCCCTCTCTCGGGTGAGGGTTTTGGTACACCCCCCCTTCCCCAGCGCTACCCCCTACCAATTTGCCAAGTTTGCAGTTTTTCACCCACAGATTGTGGTCCGTCGAGCGGTGAGGGAGGGAAGAGGGGGGGGGGTAAATAATACACATGAAACAGTGGTAGGAGTGGTTACGTGGCTTCTTGTGAAAGTTAGGCAGGCGCGATTACAGTTTTGCATCGGATATTTCGATTTTGCGGCATAATGCCAATTCATGCTTTTGTCCCGCACAGGAGACCGATGACATATGTTCTAAACTGGAAAAAATCACCCCGCGTAAAAATCACAGGGAAAGAAATTTTGCGCCCAACACGGCAAATGGTTCTGTCAAAAGCCACACACGCACATCCTTCGACCATCCCCCCAGCCGAAAAGTACGACCCTTCCAATGTGTTTCCACACAACGATGGCTGTACCCATGTTCGTAATTGACCCGGACCGGCCCGAGCGCGATAAGAGTGGGGCACGCACGATGCAGCTGTAACATCGTAGCAGAACGACATGAAAAATATCAAAATGAAATTTTTCCTCACTAGCAAACTTTCGTGTAGACCCTCGAAAATAGTGGATACATAGCGAATGAGAACATAAAATGAATGAGATAATTACCTTGGCCAGGTGCTATCATATCGGGCTGCTTACAACCGTCAGTACAAGCACGTTTCGCTGGTATCGGTGAGGAATCCGTTCTGAAATCACATCGAGCAGTATTTCATGAGGAACTCGTTGCTACACTTCACAGAAACACGTTCTCGAGGAGAGTCAAAGAAAAGAGAGAGGATAAAATGAGTCCTCAAATATGTTTGTGCGCCCAAATTTACAAGTACAAATTTTTTGACATTTTGCATCGTACATCAAAGACTTGCGCGGGCTGCAAAGTGTAAGCCCAAGCTTCAACAGTACTCGGTACTTTCAGCGAATATCTATAAGTACGTACATCTTGGCGCACGAGTTCGAGTAACGATAAAAGATAACTGTCGCTCACGGTACAACAGCGTGAATGAGTGGGATGGCGGTGTTAGTACCATCCACCCCTCCCCCAATCCAAAAAACCTCCTTATCTGGAACGACTCCCCATTTCTATCCTACCCGCCATCTTCCCGAGTTTTGCCAACTTCCTGCCACTTTTTTCCCCAACTTTCCAAAAACTTTTTTATTTGTTATAAACAGGCGTCAAGTGGGAGGAGGCCGCCACCGGTAAACTACTAATCTCAGCTATCACGAATTGTAGTTGTACGATCAGGGCACGCAGTTCGTTGGGGATCTCCAGCGAGGGGGAGGGGCTCGCCTTTGGCTGCTGAGTGATGGAGGGAATCGTCTTTTTTCTGAAAAAAATTTGGGTTTTTTCTGTTTTCCCGCTTCATATGCGCTACGGCACTTTTTCGAGGGAAAAGCAGTGTTCGAAAAAGACAAAAGTGGTAGGAAGTCGGGGAATTTAGCAAGATGATATGGTTAAGATGGGGGTTGGGAAAGGGCGGGGGTCGTACCAGGGAAGGAAATGTTGACGGGGATGTGTCGTAGTTTGCGAATTTTCCATCAGGCAGGACGTGCCCTGACGTGTGTGTGGTAGCTCTGTGACACCTCCATATCAGTGGGGGGGGGGTGTCACGTGAAACGAGAAAGAGTGTCCACGACCGGAAATGGGATTCTCCCAATGATGTTGCATCCCGCTTGGAATACCAGATGAAAGCATAGACCTTGTCGCTACTAAGAAAGTAAAGATTTTGCCACCATTGGCGTATCCCCCTGCCCCCCCCCCCCCTTTAATAGAAATCAGCCTTTGAACGAATTAGAGCACGACATGAGTTGCATTCGGAAAGATCACCCAACATTACAGCGCAGTGTCGCGACTGCATAGCAAACATAGTGACTAATACACACGAAGGTCTAAGTACATGAATGCTACCCACGATCTTTTCCCACTTGT